CACGGACTAAAACTGGTAGTTGGTTCCACAGGAGAGGAGCCTGAGAACTAAAAGATCTGCCTCCCATTCTACTTTTACTCTTGCGGTTTTCCTTCAACTTTCTGAACCAAATCTAGATTTTAAAATCATTGAGGTGATGTTAAAGAATAAATATCCTGAAAAAAGAGCGGTTCAGAAGCTTCAGAGATGGCCTTATAGCTGATCATGAATGTAAACTTCTCTCTGGTGCTTGAAGGTTACTGCGTTACTGTTTTCAGTGGCAAGTCATTATTTTACTGTTTAACATTTTCTTTCATTGTTTAAATAATGTGGTCTGTTCAGCTTCTCACTCAAAAGTTCAGACTTTGACTGTTTAACAATCGTTTTGACTTTTAGAAGATGTCAGTTCGGACTTTTTTCGTAACCTTGGCTACAATTTCTTTATTTAATAGTAACTTATTACATGACTTACCTCTTCTATAAAGGTTTAATAACTAAGGGAAGTAACTGTCAGCTAAAGGCTGTTTTACATTGTATCTGGATGTTTTGTTACTCATTTATCCTCAATGTTTAAATAGTTTCTCTATTATGTAATTAAAAAGCCATTAAACACCTGAGTAAACCTTAAAAAGTAAATACAGCCATGGTTATTGCATTGATATGCCTGTAGAGGTCCCTGGTAACTCAAGCACAGCCAAAAAAAAAAACCCAGAAACAAACTGAAACTTGCACTTTCTCAATGAAGCCCACTCATAAAAATCGACTTATGCAATTTATCAGAATAATTTGATCGGTCGAGTTGGCCCAGTTAAATCATTGCAAAATGTTCTTCTCTTTTTGAATCACTGGCTAAGGTTCATAAGCCAACTCTAACATTATTACACCTGTTTCTAAATCTGCTGCTGTTGGACAAACTATAACAAACATCTTTGTTACCTTTTGGGTCGGTTGACTCTGCGTTGAAAGACGTGGTCTAAAGTTGTCAGCGTCTAACTAAAACGGGAATGAGGACTTTTAACTTGAAGGGATCATTGTAAAGCGTTTTAGCTGTAATCTTTAAACCCTTTATCACACACATGCTTGCAACATGCGTGCAGCTGTATGCACAGTTGCCAAAATGCAAACCCAGACTCTTAAAACAACAATACTTTCTGTGTCTTAAATGACTTGCCTGCTTCCCAGTAGATGAAGTATGCCGTCCTGTAGAATAGATGAGGCAGAGGTACACAAACTGCTCCAATATAACCAGTATATACTGGTGTGGTGTGACTCAATTATAAATTTTAAAGGGACAGTTTTCCAGTAATGTTTATCTGTCCTTTAAACGGTGACCTTGAACGCTGCGTTCTTTGTGGTGAGTGTTTGATATCTGTGTGGCTGCACATTACTTATCGTTATCTTGTACGAAGGTGTTTTCCTGTTCGTCTTTCTCCATCTGTCTCCAAAAATCGGGGTTTGGATTTCTCTCTTTTATGCACTGCATGTTATCACTGTTATGACTTGCACTTTAAGGAGTATTTATTGAAATAAAAACCAACATGCAAGAACATCAATGTTGTTATTACGTTTGTTTTTTTTCCACGTCTGAGTTTTCATACACGCATACATAACACACCTGTTGCTTTTTACAGCGGTTTGTGAGAAGACGCATCACATGGACACATGCAAAACACTTAAATTACAGCAGATCGATCTAAAGGCTAGAAAACGCTGTTATGTAGTCATAACACAGCCCTCCTTGGATCTTATGAACTCCAAAGTAAAAATACTTGTTTTTTTTTTTTTATGAATGTTTTTCTGTGAAGTTAGTAGCAACTTTCATTTGCTTTGTGAGAAAGACGTAGTTTTACAGAGAGTTGCAGAAAGGTGAAGAAATCCTCCGCTTCCATCTGGGAAACTGATTGCTAACCCACAGCGTACCCAGAGTTAGCATATATTTGCAACGTAAAAGGCTCAGACTAAAACATATGCAGTAATTAAGGTGGGTTGTTGTGCAGCCTTGTGAAGTAAGAAGAGTATATAATGTATTTACTATGGGTGTTATTATTTCAGTGACATGGAAGATGTCGCTACTCTCTTTTAACAGCAGCAAACTCTTTTCTCTTGGAAAAGCACAGACCTTTGATGTCTGTTAGTATGGATCCTATAAACATGATCTGTTGAAAATGGCTTGAAACAGCGGCCTTCCAATTAGACCCCAGAGTCCTGCAGGTTTTAGATGTTTCTGCTCCAGCACACCTCAATCAAATGACTGCATTCCCTCCTCAGCAGCCACTGAGATCTGAGGTGTGTGAATGAATGTGGTGTAAAAAGCTTTGCTCTAGTCAATGATCTCTAATTATTCATCGGATTGCTGATTGGCTAAAAAAAGGGAAGCATCCGTCTGCCATGTTGGTACTCCCCACTCCCATTCCCACACGCATTAGCAATGCATACATGTGTAGCATTGGGCTGCTATAACCAGCAGTTTTCTGCTATAGAAAGACGTTTCACATTTTATTTCCCAGTCAGTGGATGAACTAACTAATACATCTATATATACACTGATGGATCCTATAGTATAGTCTGTAGCGTAAACATTATTGTGGCAATCTCAGACTGATTCAAAGGTATTGACTAAATTTGCCATCGACATTGTGTCTAATGTTAGAAAATAGAAAATAGCGTAAATAGAAAGTAATTCACTGTGAAATGTCAAAGCAGTAATTCTTTATTAAATGGGTGATGCTGTAGATTTTGTAGTGTTTTTGTAGTTGTCATTTGAAAAAGTCCTGTGCTGAAATATATTGCATGTTATATTGACGGAAAAAAGCAACTATATATATATATATATATATATATATATATATATATATATATATATGCATGCATGCATGCATGCATCCATTAGCAGATATGTAAGATGCAATTAATGTAATCAATTAATCAATACATTTACATCATCAATTAAGCACTTTTGGCTCATCTGTATTATTCTGCTCCTTTAACACATTAATTTTATTGCGATTTATTTGTATATGTTATATTGCATGATTTATAGACTTTATTGACTTCATAATGACTATGCAACAGAGATGGGAAGTAACGAAGTACAAATACTTCGTTACTGTACTCAAGTAGATTTTTCTGATATTTTTACTTTACTTTACTACTTATTTTTATGGCGACTTTTTACTTTTACTCCTTACATTTTTACACAAATATCTGTACTTTCTACTCCTTACATTTTAAAAAATTGGCTCGTTACTTTAGTTTTGAATAATTTCAATGGAGTTACCGTTATTATTTTTCACGTCATCAATACCAAATTCAATCTAATTGGATGGGAATCTACGTTGCATTTGACGCACCACTACAAGATGAATCGACAGATTCGGCGGTATTCATTGGCGGCAAATCATTGCAGCTTGGTGGCGGTGGCGTTAGCATAGTAGCATGGACGACGAGATGATTGAAAATGAACACAACGGAGATCTAGTCCTATTGGCAGACATCCATTTAAAATGTAGGCAACGGCATGAAAAAAGTGGTTTCTACTTTTACTTTTATACTTTAAGTAAATTTACAAGCCTGTACTTTGTTACTTTTACTTGAGTAAAGAAGTTTAATCAGTACTTCCACTTTTACCAGAGTATTTTTTAACACAAGTATCTGTACTTTTACTCAAGTACGGAAAGTGAGTACTTTTGCCATCTCTGCTATGCAATGTGATGTGCCTATTTTGTTTATTATAGGTTAAATCAATCTACTGATGCTATGAAACAGCCAGTCTGTGTCAAAGTGATGAATTTATCTTTATTTTAAAAGTCTTAAGCCTCCCTGAAAATGAGAACATCATCATCGTTGTTCAATCCTGTAGCGCACAGATTGTTTACATTGCGACCGGTCTAACAAGGGAGTACCAATATGGCTGCTGGTGGATTCACTTTAACCCTTTACTACCAAATGACTGTCAGCAATCCAGTGAATAAATAGAGATCAATGGGCCACATCCTCTGACTTAAAAAAAGCGCTCTATAAGTAAAGGTCATTTATCATTTGCCTGTTTTGTATCGATTTATTAAAGTCAGGTGTGTTAAGGCAGGGAAAACTCTAAAACATTCAGAGCAATGAGTCCTAAAGACCAAACCCCGAACCAAAAACACTATCCATCATTTGTTAGTCTTTCACAGCTCTTTGGATTTCTTCCCTTTTTTAAAAACTCACACAATCTTCCTGCTTTTGGTTACTGGTAACTTCACAGAACCTTTTACTTTCTATGTCACAGATCATTTAAATATCACAAGATCAGTAGAAACATGCTCTTAAACAATCCAGATAGGTTGTCAGCAATATTAACAAACAGTAGAAAAAAATCCCTATAAAGATAAAAAATAGTGATGCAAACACATGGAAATAAAACTGACCAGCTCCTGATAGTTCTGTTAAAAAATAGAATAAAATAAAATAGTGTGTTAATACAACTGGGGGGAAATAATATTATATTTATCCCTAAGCTTATTTTAAATATTCAGTCCCTTGCAGCAAACCCTTTAAGATTTCTGATGCTTCTTGTAGACTTGGACCAATATTCAGGCTCCGGTTGGATTCTTTCTTCTGTGTTCACATAGCGGCTGATCTGAGGAAAAGCTGATTTCTTGATTGTAGGACTTTTCCAAGTTTGCACGTCTCTTTCTCTCTAGAGGAAGGTTATTTCATCCTGAACACACTTTAGATTAAATCCTTCCTTTTCTCCCCCCTTGAGTGGTTGTTTTTGGTATTGTCCCGTCCATGTAGGTCTGCAATCTTTTCATATTTACTCTCCCAAGAAAAGGAGATACCATCTTGGTCCAAAGTTCAGAATCTTTCCACCGACCTCTTCAAGGAGCAGAGCTAACATATCCATCTGCTTGGACGCTGGTTTCACTCACGAGGGTATTGCCCTTTTCATGCGGTTCTTAATAAGTCAGGCTGAAGTCAAGAAGGTGCTGGTTTTGTGAAGGGATCAAATGGCAGCAACTTGTCACACTAGGGAGGTCCCGCTTAGCCTGGGAGATTTATAGTGGACTGTTAAAAAACAAAGTGGGAGATTATTTAACATGCAGAGGGACAGAGAGAGCGTGTTTGATTCCTCCTTACCTCACTGTGGGGTTATGAATCCATAGAGTCTGCATACATGTCAGGAGGAGGTAAAATGACGACTGAAGGATCAAACTCTGTCTCCTGAGGGGAGCTTTCCTGTTGCCTGTTTTGAAAATAATATATAAAAAAAGGACTGAATAATTTTTACAACCACCTTTACTTATTTTCCATCTTAAGAAAGTACACCTGTCAGAAAATAAAAGGAACCTTTAAATAACACATCCTAGATCTGAATGAATAAAATATTCTCATTCAATTGTTTGTTTTGTACAAAGCTGAGTGTATTGACACCGAAATCACAGAAGGAAATCTAATTTATCAACCAATTAAGACCTGGATTTGGAGTCGCATACAAAAGTAAAATGGAAAAACATTACAGGCTGAACCAACGTTGATAACGGGACAAAATGAGACTCAGTATTGTGTGTGGCCTCCACATGCCTGTATGACCTCCCTACAATGACTCAGCATTCTCCTGATGAGGTGGTGGATGGTCTCCTGAGGAATCTTCTCCCAGACCTGGACTGAGGCATCCGCCAACTACTGGACCTGGACTGAGGCATCCGCCAACTACTGGACCTGGACTGAGGCATCCGCCAACTCCTGGACAGTCTGTGATGTAACCTGGCATTGGGGAATGGATCGAGACATGATGTCCCATAGCTTCAATGCCTTGATCTTGCAGGAACTGCTGACACACTTCAGCCAAAAGAGGTCAAACATTGTCCTCCATTAGGAGGAACCCAGGATCACCTGCATATTGTCTCACAAGGGGTCTGAGGATCTCATCTCTGTACCCAATGCCAGTCATGCTACCTATGATAAGCACATGGAGGACTATGTGGCCCTCCAAAGAAAAGCCACCCCTCACCATTACTGACCCACTGCAGAACCAGTCATGCTGAAGGTCTTTGCAGGCAGCAGATTTCTCTCCACAGTGTCTGCAGACTGTCACGTGTGCTCGTTGTGAACCTACGTTCATCAGTGGGGAATATGCCAATCCTGATGTTCTCTGGCAAATGCTAAGCATCCTTCATGGTGTTGGGCTGTGAGCACAACCCCCGTCTGTGGATGTCGGGCCCTCATACTATCCTCATGGAGTCCGTTTTAACGGCTGAGCAGATGTTTGTGCAGACACATGCACATTTGTGGCCTGTCTGGGTCAATTTGCAGCACTCTGGCAATTTTCCTCCTGTTCCTCCTTGCTCAAAGCGGAGGTAGTGGCCTTGCTGCTGGGTTGGTGTCCAACTATGGCCTCCTCCATGTCTCCTGGTGTACTGGCCTGTCTCCTGGTAGTGACTCTAGCCTCTGCATACTACACTGAGAGACAGAGCAAACCTTGCTAGAGCTTGCATTGATCTGCACTATCTGAGCCAGTTGTGTGGGTTGTAGAGTCTGTGTCATGCAACCACGGGTGTGAAAGCACCAACAACATAAGTGACCAGAACATCAGCCAGAAACCATTGGTGCTGAGAAGTGGTCTGTTAGTCCCCACCTGTAGAAACACTCCTTTATAGAAGTCTATATTTTTCACCTGTTGTATATTCCGTTTGCACAAAAGCATGTGAACTGATTGTCAGTCAGTGTTGCTTCCTAAGTGAACGGTTTGATTTCACAGAAGTTTGATTTAATTGAAGTTATATTGTGTTGTTTACATGTTTCCTTCATGTTTTTGAGCATTGTATTTACAGAGTGGTTCATATTGTGATTGGGTAATGGCTAGCGTGATAATCTTAAATAAAATACAAAAATAAAGTAATTACACCAAAACGCTAAATAAAAATACGCAACATAATAAACCTCTTGATTTTATAGAAACAATTACTCCAACTGCAATTGAAATTATGCAATATATGGTTATCAGTCCTACAGAATTCCATATATACACAGTTTAGTTATTGGTTTTTTTATTAGGTTCTGTATAGAGTAACAAATCATTGCAATCTAATATTAGCTGGTTAATTACTTTGGCTGATTTGGTGGGCCGAGGCTATTTAGCAGAGTTTTTCACCTTTTTAATCTTAGCAAACAAAAATGATGTGGAGTTCCTCAAGGTTTCATTCTGGGGCTGCTTTTATTTTGAGATGCAGCGATACCTGGGATGAACGTATTGCTCGATATCTAATACTAATCCGATTCAACTGTTGAATGAACAAGCAATATCTCTCGTGATGTGAGTGGAGGCTTTGGCCAATTAACACGAATATTAATTTACTTTATCTTATTATTTATCAACAAATAAGCAGCAAAAACAGTTCCATATAAAGTGCACGGAGCTGGATCACCGATCCAATATCAGATTAACAATATCCATACAGCTAATTAGTCATTATTGGAGCCAATATCCCATCCAGCTATCAGATCGGTGTCTCTCTACTATTCTCTTCAGCAAATACATAATCCAAGTAGCAGAGATAATAATGTACACAAGTATCTCTTATAATACCTGTACTGATAACATATAATACCTGTTTCTGTTTCAATGCTTGACCTTGGCCAACTTCAGTCACTGTGAAAAAATGTCCAGTAATGAACCTTTTAGAATGCTCCCCATTCTTTAGGAGGTAAGGTAACATTGCTTTTACACGTGTCTGCAAAAATCAATCAGCCAGTTGCAGCTCGTCTAAAAAGCTGCTGCAATAGCCCTGATCAACACCAGCAAAATGAATGGCAGTCATTGCTGCACTAAAAGGTCTTCATCTAATTATATTTTAGAATTTCCATTTAAGTATGGAGCATGTAGGTCCCTCAGGTCATCTTAAACCTGTCCATAAACTGTCTAGGAGCAGGAACTAAAAGCAGGGAGGCAGCTTTTAGTCTCCCAGATCCTCAGGTTTTCAGGCAATTGTCCAAAAATGAGACGTGACAGAACTTGAAAACATTCACTGCAGCTTACCGATAAAAGCCAGACTAGCTTTCAGTTTGTATCATGTCTTCGTTGTTTTTTAGTTAACAAATTTTATTTTGCATCTTTATTTTTTTATGTTTGGGCGTATCTATTTCTTTCTGTCATATTTTGTTCTTTTGTTCTCCTGTTAAGCTCTTAGAATTACCCTGTGGAAGAATGGTGCCATAAAAATAAACTCGTCTTCCCTAACAACAACCTAGTAGCAGTGACAGCTTTTGCTCCTTTAAACTTTAGTTGCTCTGTTTGTAACTTAGCGTTCCAGAAAAATCCAATACCCAGTTAAATAAGGGGAAAAATTAGTTTTAGTTTAAACTGATTTCAAAACCTCAAAATGAGGTTCAGCTTGTAGGAAATCAGACCCAGTAACTTATGAAATATATCAAACACCAGACACAAGATGGACATTTCTAAAATAAACCTGTAAGCTAATTTTTGTTTAAGGCTGTACCAATACCAGAAACTGGGCCATGCCTAGTTGCCATGTTTTGATCACTGTTGATGAAGCCTGAAGCACATTAGGGTTGACAGTTTTACCCAAACAGGACTCAGCCTGTTTGCAGGACTGGACTGGTTTTCCAGTCCACCAGACTTTCTCTTAGACGCATAAATTAATATGTTGACATCTTTAGCAGCTCATTCCAAACAAGAAAAAAAAAAAAGAAGAAGAAGAAAACCTGTCTGTCTACTGGTTGAGCAACATGTCGGGAATTTTTCTGTGTGTATTTATGGCTACTTACACACTAACGTCTTCTTCCGGCACAGGTGTAGGGCCTGCAGAGGAACCAAGGTCCAGATTATTCAGTTATATTCAAAAGAAAAGAATTAAAATTAAAATCCATTTAGCTGAACTTACTCCTTTCTGGTTCGGGTTCCCTTAAAAAGAAAAGAAGTTAAATCATCAGTAAAGTTTCTACTGCCTATAAACTGTCTACAGCATCAACATGCTTATGTAACACTTACAATGGAGCTGGATCCACGGATTTCGATGAGTTGAAAAATGTCGCCAACTTTTGAAGTGCTTCTTGTCTTGCACTAGTGAAAAAGAAAGAAAAATACAAACAATTAAGTGTGTAACATCTCTTTTCTCACTTTTTATGTTGAAAAAAGTATGAATGATCATGATCTCACTGGGTCTGGGAGTCGTCACACATGTCACTGTGACTGTGCTGGTGGTTTGTGGCGACGTCCCTGTTTCCTGTAAAGAGAAAATGAAGCAGAAACAATCATTCTAAACATACCAGGAAAAAACAAACACCTAAACTATCTTCTATCAGGTGAAACAACCTAAAACGTGTCATCACAGGTTCCATTATCATCAACTTCCTGTTACACAAACGACATGTTTAACCTGCGAGTCACGAAGTGATGATTCAGCTAAAGAATGACGCAGAGTAATAGTTTATTAAAATGCACTAAGAGTGGAAAATATTTGTGGCTTTACAGGTTTTAAATTTTAAATAACTGGAAACTTTTTTTACATTTATAGTTATACAGCACAGACGGTTTCAAAGCTACCTGCTATTCTAATAAAGCAAAAATATGATTTGAGCTACTACAGCTTTATACCCTAACTGTGTGCTTGTTATTATGCTTGGATCTATTGCCATTTCTATAGAGCTACACACCAGATTCACCCATACTTAGTTTGAATGCGTAAAAAAAATCTGACATACTTTGAAGTCAATATATAACATGGATAGATAAAAAGCTCATTTTATTTCAGTGTTTAAAGCAAAGTAATTCTGTTTAAAGTAACAGATTATAATTAAAAATGTCTCCGGATCTTTACTGGTTGATGATTTTCTTTATTCGGACCCTGCTGATTTTTAATTGGTTACCCCTGCTCTAAACCAAACATTGAAACTGATGAATGCATAAAATAATCAGAATGATATGTAACATTGTGATAAAGTACAGTTCTCTGCAAACTATACCTGATTAGCAACATGCTAACCTTGCTTTTAGTTGTGGCAGCGTCATGCTGTAGGCACGCAGGGACAGAGAAGCCCGACACTGAACTACAGCTGCTGCTACATTAGCATGGTTCAGATTAAAGCAGATCCAAATGTTAGAAGGGCCTAGTCAAAGTCTAGACCTTTATCTGTGGAAAGATTTGAAAACTGCTTTATGTGGAAACCTTTCGAAACCCTTATTGTTCTTTGATTTATTATTCAGCTTTAATAGCAGCAAAATGTGGTTCTCTCAGTAGAGGGTAAAGGGCTTAATGTTTTTTTTATGTAAAAAAGCTAAATATTTTCCCTTCAACTCTCAGTTTAGTATTAAGTAAAGTAATATTACTCGGTTAAAAGGACGTTTTTCCTCTCCACTGTCGCTACAAGCATGCTTAGTGTGAGGGATTGCCTTCCAGTCAATGAATCGATGCAATCAGCTGGTTTTCCTTAGATAGAAAACTTAGAAATAAGCTGAATAGAACTGAAGTAATTTGTCTGTTCCAAGAATTTCACTACAAGAAATAAAGAGTTATTAATTCTTTTGAAAGGTACTGTTAAACCATTTAGTTGGAGAAAACTATGCTCAATGGTTTCTACTTTTATTGCTTTTTCAGGTCAGGAAACTTGAGTAAAGCGCTTTATGCTACATACAGTCACAGACTGATGTTGGCTAGCTACACTGTAGCCACAGCTGCCCTGGGGCTCCCTGACGGTGAGGCTGCCGATCACAGGCGCGACCGGACCCTCTGACCTCCATCGGTAGGAGATGTGGGTTAAATGTTCAATGAAAGCCAGAGCCGCAGTTTGAACCGCCAACTCCTGCATCCGACGCCACTATCAACCGCAATGACCTGATAACCGTCAGACAACAGTATTTGATTTGTTATAAAACTCATAAAACTAATTCAGCTCTGAGTTTGGGATATTTATAGCCTCCAGTTGAATAAAACTTATCACATTTACCTTTAAAACAAGGAATCTTGAAGGTTGCAAAATAAATTCCAACCATTTAATCAGTTAATTTCAGTCCTAAGCAACAATATATATATAAACAACACATGCATCATTGGCCTTCCATTCAGTAAAAGGCTAACATGACCTATTTTTTTACTCTATAAACCATATTTTTGTTTCACAGTTCCTGGAGAGATGCAGCACATGATCAACAGTCAGCTGATAACGATCCACTGGAATGGCTGTAGAGTTTCAGGAAATGAGCTGCATGAAATCTCATCGATGCGATCCACAACATTTTGCTTCAAGGCTCTCGTTCAAGTAAACTTGCCTCGGAAACAACAACAACTTATTATTCTGTCATGCGTGTGATAGCTTACCCGTCTCTGGCATGGAGAAAGTCCTTGCGTGGCCCCTGCAGAGGACAGAGAAGGTTAGAAGGAAATGGTCTGGAAAAGACTTTTAAGAACTAAGAGAAAGAAGTAAGGTTACCCTGGTAACTGCTCAGAGGTTTGAGGAGCAGGCGAGAACGGTTCGTCTTCACAGGTCCACTCATCACTGTCATCTGAGACTGAAAACAGCAACACAAGCATGAAGGAGCAGTGGGCATCAAACAGCCGCTGATCGATTTAATGTGTTTAATTAGAGGCTTTGGTTGCAACACTTACAGCTTTCTGCTGAATGACTGAAGTTATTCAGCGCCCTGAGGAGTAAACAGAAAGCAGACGGAATCTTTCCACCAGCGTCGGCTATATGTTATCTTATTTTTTTAATTTAGTCTTAAGGTCCAACACATACTTGCCATCTGTGGTTTCCGTCTCGATGACGGTGCTGTTGCGGGGAGTCTTCTTCCCCAGCTCCAACATATCCTTAAAGTCCAGCTCCAAGTGTTCCACAGAAACGTATCCATCTATGGGAACAGATTCATGCCAGTTACTGCCGGATATCAAAAGGAGCTGGTCTCCATTTTTCCCAGAAACAGACGAAATCCCAAACGTTCAGCTTACAGGTGTTGCTGCTGTCCCTGGCCAGCCACTTTCCTTTGGGGCACTTGGTCGTTCGGATGATGCTGATGATGTCTCCGCTCTTGACTGGAAGATCGTTCCTGCGGCCCTTCGCGGTTACGTTCACTTTTGCCTGATACATGGCTTCCTCCTGCCCTGTGATCTGAATCACACACGGACACGGAGACGTTACCCAGCAGCTCTGCGTTCAAGGCTACCATGGTGAACCGAATCTAACCGAAACTTTTCAACACAAAAAAGATGATTGATAGAGGAGAAAGAAAATAAACGACACATTAAGTAAATTAAAATGTACATAATATTCTGTATTTTATATTTATCAATGTCTAAAATAAAATAAAAGTTTTAGATACAAAGATTTAGGAATACATTTTATTCAAAATATGTGTTTTCTGCTCAGGAATTGAGCTGACATGAGGGCAAAGGTCAAAGCCTAAATAAATAACATGTCAAACAGGCCATGGGTGAAGAGGACAGAGCGGCAGGTATTCATGCAGATCTATTTTAAAGGGATCTGGGATACAGTCTTTAATTCTATTTATTAATCAAGATGAAGAGAAGTTTATTTCTCTATTTAAATCATTTTAAACCAGTGGTTCCTCAGTGGGAGTTATAAGGAAGTGACATCATCTTTGAAATTCTGCATTAAAAACAAACAAAAATTATATATGTTGACGCATATTTAAGCTAAAATTGTAAAAAATGTTTCTTCTTTAAGTACCTTCATAGGAAACCCCACCAACAGTGAAAGTCATGAGTGTTTAAAAGCAGTTTTTTTAAACTAATTTGTGCAGCTAAGGAGGTAGTAGGGCCTGAATGTTTTTATCGTGCTCTGCCTGCAGCAGGATAATGCGCAGGACCAACATAAACCACAACAGATAAGACTAATCTAATTTATAGTTCTGCAATGTGTCTAATTATAAAGCATTTAAGTGCAATACTGCAGAATAAAAAAAAAGCTATGTGCAATTATTCTTTGTTATATTTTGGGTCACATTAAGTTGATAAAAGTTTATTATTTTCCTCATTAGAACATTTTCTGTTGTTCAACAACATTTGCATAAAGTAATCTAAACAATATTTGAATTAAAGGTTGTTTACTAAATGTATCAGACAGCCGAAATGTAATAAATGTTTAGGCTCTATAGAACAGAAGTTAAAAAACATTTTTCTTCATGACCCGATGAGAGAGGAGCTACTGAAGAGTCTGAAGGGAAATTTGTATTTTTATGCAGGAGGTAATTTAATCACGATCCGCTTTCGGATTTTTAGATCCTACCTATATTAAACTTTAATCTGTTGCAAAGCTGGTTAACAAAAGGATGCATTTGTTTTGCTTATCGCCTCGTTTAAATTAATCCTATAAATACTGGAAGGTCTTTTATCATCGTGTGTCTGGAAACTGAATTCTTGCTCAAAGATCTTTGTTATAAAAGCACACAGATTGAAAACTTATGAGAGAAGGTGTTGCCATCAGTCATGTTTACTCAGACTTCAGCTTTTCCACGTTGAGGAATGAATCCTGACAGGTTTGAGCACCCAGATATTTACCCCACCCTCCTCCTCCCGTCACCTTCCATACCTCCTCCTCCCCCTGTTTTCTGTCGGAATAACAGGACTCACATTGAATTTTTTCTTCATCTCATGCTCCCTCTTCTCCCTCTCCTTCTGCTCTTTCCTCTCCCTCCCCTGTTTCTCCTTCAGCTCCTTCTTCTCCTTTTCCAGCCGCTGCTTCTCCTTCTTTTTCAACTCCTTTTCTTCTGACTTCTCGGAGTTGTGCTTCTTATCGCTCCTGCAGAGAGAAGAAATGCACAATACTTGAGAACTGTTTTCTCACAGCGTGTTTAAATAGCATGGGGTGGGGGTGGGATTATAACAGGGAAGCATAAGCAAACTCTGGTTATAAGGAGTGTAAGAATGAAAACTGGAGGAATGGATCCAGAAATAAGAAGAAANGAGTCAATGAGTCGATGCAATCAACTGGTTTTCCTTTGAAAGAAAATGGATGATCTGGTGAACTGTAAAGTGGCTTGAGATGACATGATGTGAATTGGAGCTATAGAAATAAACTGAATTGAACTGAAGTAATTTGTCTGTTCCAAGAATTTCACTACAAGAAATAAAGAGTTATTAATTCTTTTGAAAGGTAATGTTAAACCATTTAGTTGGAGAAAAATATGGTCAATGGTTTCTACTTTTAGTGCTTTTTCAGGTCAGGAAACTTGAGCAAAGCGCTTTACGCTACATTCAGTCACAGACTGATGGTGGCTAGCTACACTGTAGCCACAGCTGCCCTGGGGCTCCCTGACGGTGAGGCTGCCGATCACAGGTGCGACCGGACCCTCTGACCTCCATCGGTAGGAGATGTGGGTTAAATGTTCAATGAAAGCCAGAGCCGCAGTTTGAACCGCCAACTCCTGCATCCGACGCCACTATCAACCGCAATGACCTGATAACCGTCAGACAACAGTATTTGATTTGTTATAAAACTCATAAAACTAATTCAGCTCTGAGTTTGGGATATTTATAGCCTCCAGTTGAATAAAACTTATCACATTTACCTTTAAAACAAGGAATCTTGAAGGTTGCAAAATAAATTCCAACCATTTAATCAGTTAATTTCAGTCCAAAGCAACAATATATATATAAACAACACATGCATCATTGGCCTTCCATTCAGTAAAAGGCAAACATGACCTATTTTTTAACTCTATAAACCATATTTTTGTTTCACAGTTCCTGGAGAGATGCAGCACATGATCAACAGTCAGCTGATAACGATCCACTGGAATGGCTGTAGAGTTTCAGGAAATGAGCTGCATGAAATCTCATCGATGCGATCCACAACATTTTGCTTCAAGGCTCTGGTTCAAGTAAACTTGCCTCGGAAACAACAACAACTTATTATTCTGTCATGCGTGTGATAGCTTACCCGTCTCTGGCATGGAGAAAGTCCTTGCGTGGCCCCTGCAGAGGACAGAGAAGGTTAGAAGGAAATGGTCTGGAAAAGACTTTTAAGAACTAAGAGAAAGAAGTAAGGTTACCCTGGTAACTGCTCAGAGGTTTGAGGAGCAGGCGAGAACGGTTCGTCTTCACAGGTCCACTCATCACTGTCATCTGAGACTGAAAACAGCAACACAAGCATGAAGGAGCAGTGGGCATCAAACAGCCGCTGATCGATTTAATGTGTTTAATTAGAGGCTTTGGTTGCAACACTTACAGCTTTCTGCTGAATGACTGAAGTTATTCAGCGCCCTGAGGAGTAAACAGAAAGCAGACGGAATCTTTCCACCAGCGTCGGCTATATGTTATCTTATTTTTTTAATTTAGTCTTAAGGTCCAACACATACTTGCCATCTGTGGTTTCCGTCTCGATGACGGTGCTGTTGCGGGGAGTCTTCTTCCCCAGCTCCAACATATCCTTAAAGTCCAGCTCCAAGTGTTCCACAGAAACGTATCCATCTATGGGAACAGATTCATGCCAGTTACTGCCGGATATCAAAAGGAGCTGGTCTCCATTTTTCCCAGAAACAGACGAAATCCCAAACGTTCAGCTTACAGGTGTTGCTGCTGTCCCTGGCCAGCCACTTTCCTTTGGGGCACTTGGTCGTTCGGATGATGCTGATGATGTCTCCGCTCTTGACTGGAAGATCGTTCCTGCGGCCCTTCGCGGTTACGTTCACTTTTGCCTGATACATGGCTTCCTCCTGCCCTGTGATCTGAATCACACACGGACACGGAGACGTTACCCAGCAGCTCTGCGTTCAAGGCTACCATGGTGAACCGAATCTAACCGAAACTTTTCAACACAAAAAAGATGATTGATAGAGGAGAAAGAAAATAAACGACACATTAAGTAAATTAAAATGTACATAATATTCTGTATTTTATATTTATCAATGTCTAAAATAAAATAAAAGTTTTAGATACAAAGATTTAGGAATACATTTTATTCAAAATATGAGTTTTCTGCTCAGGAATTGAGCTGACATGAGGGCAAAGGTCAAAGCCTAAATAAATAACATGTCAAACAGGCCATGGGTGAAGAGGACAGAGCGGCAGGTATTCATGCAGATCTATTTTAAAGGGATCTGGGATACAGTCTTTAATTCTATTTATTAATCAAGATGAAGAGAAGTTTATTTCTCTATTTAAATCATTTTAAACCAGTGGTTCCTCAGTGGGAGTTATAAGGAAGTGACATCATCTTTGAAATTCTGCATTAAAAACAAACAAAAATTATATATGTTGACGCATATTTAAGCTAAAATTGTAAAAAATGTTTCTTCTTTAAGTACCTTCATAGGAAACCCCACCAACAGTGAAAGTCATGAGTGTTTAAAAGCAGTTTTTTTAAACTAATTTGTGCAGCTAAGGAGGTAGTAGGGCCTGAATGTTTTTATCGTGCTCTGCCTGCAGCAGGATAATGCGCAGGACCAACATAAACCACAACAGATAAGACTAATCTAATTTATAGTTCTGCAATGTGTCTAATTATAAAGCATTTAAGTGCAATACTGCAGAATAAAAAAAAAGCTATGTGCAATTATTCTTTGTCATATTTTGGGTCACATTAAGTTGATAAAAGTTTATTATTTTCCTCATTAGAACATTTTCTGTTGTTCAACAACATTTGCATAAAGTAATCTAAACAATATTTGAATTAAAGGTTGTTTACTAAATGTATCAGACAGCCGAAATGTAATAAATGTTTAGGCTCTATAGAACAGAAGTTAAAAAACATTTTTCTTCATGACCCGATGAGAGAGGAGCTACTGAAGAGTCTGAAGGGAAATTTGTATTTTTATGCAGGAGGTAATTTAATCACGATCCGCTTTCGGATTTTTAGATCCTACCTATATTAAACTTTAATCTGTTGCAAAGCTGGTTAACAAAAGGATGCATTTGTTTTGCTTATCGCCTCGTTTAAATTAATCCTATAAATACTGGAAGGTCTTTTATCATCGTGTGTCTGGAAACTGAATTCTTGCTCAAAGATCTTTGTTATAAAAGCACACAGATTGAAAACTTATGAGAGAAGGTGTTGCCATCAGTCATGTTTACTCAGACTTCAGCTTTTCCACGTTGAGGAATGAATCCTGACAGGTTTGAGCACCCAGATATTTACCCCACCCTCCTCCTCCCGTCACCTTCCATACCTCCTCCTCCCCCTGTTTTCTGTCGGAATAACAGGACTCACATTGAATTTTTTCTTCATCTCATGCTCCCTCTTCTCCCTCTCCTTCTGCTCTTTCCTCTCCCTCCCCTGTTTCTCCTTCAGCTCCTTCTTCTCCTTTTCCAGCCGCTGCTTCTCCTTCTTTTTCAACTCCTTTTCTTCTGACTTCTCGGAGTTGTGCTTCTTATCGCTCCTGCAGAGAGAAGAAATGCACAATACTTGAGAACTGTTTTCTCACAGCGTGTTTAAATAGCATGGGGTGGGGGTGGGATTATAACAGGGAAGCATAAGCAAACTCTGGTTATAAGGAGTGTAAGAATGAAAACTGGAGGAATGGATCCAGAAATAAGAAGAAACTACCTGCCAAACCTGCCAATCTTCGGTTTCTCCTGAACCTGTAAAATAGCCACAAAGAATAAGACTTTATTTGCTTTTCTCCAACATTACGTCATGTCAAAAACCCTTTGAAAAGGTTTAGATTTTGTCACGTTCCAACTGTAGGATTACATCATTTGTGCAGCATGCTTTAAGTATAATCAGATAAACGTTAAATAAAACTGAATGCAGCCCGTCAGAAATGACCTATTTTGTAAATAAACACCACCTGTGTGTTTGTTTACTTCAGCTGTTTAGTAAAAGTCTCAGGGAATTGCTTGAAATCATCAATGCAGAAACAGCATTGTCGGGTTCATAAAATGTAGGTTTTTGCTAAAGAAGAACTGAAATACATAATTATGGATACAATTCCTGCAGAAAGGAGAGACAGTTGAACCCCAGACTCAAACACACTGTCTTCCACTGGACCTCCTCTGCAGAGCGTTTTATTAACAGAACATGGCGCATGGTTACAAACAGAGTATTGTTCTGACAGGACAACTGATCAGTTCATGAAGACAGAATGACGAGGCAGGATGGTCTCCTGACTGGATCATGAGACAGGAGTGGAGCATCCCTTTGCACAAATGTTTTATAAGCACACATTAATTTTATAATCATTGAATAAACCTAACAAGCATCACAAAGATCAAGAGGAACAGCAGACGGGTCAGGAAGAAACACACTGGAAAAACGGTCTAGAAATAATTAAAGATTCCTTAAATGAAGTGTATTTATCCTTAAAATAAGTAGGTAAATGAGATAGTTTGCCAATGGAATGACTATTTTCACTCTTAAAATAAGATAATTAGATAACATACACTTGAAATAAGAAAATGCGATTCTGTTTTCTTATTTTAAATGTAAATTGTCTTGTTCCACTGGCATAATGTGTCTTTTACCTCCTCAATCCAAGAAGAAATGCACTTATTTTAAGAAAATAAATAAATTATATAGATTTAAATTTTTTCCAGTGCATGTTAAGTTGTGTTGAGTTATAAAACAATATTTCCCAAACTTTAAAACATCTTACAGAGCATTGGTAAATTTGTCTGAAAAAATGTAAGATGTATGCAAAGGTCGTCAACAGATCTAATGATATCTATCGGTCAGAATGGCCTAGTTAAAGTCCGCACCTAATCCAATTAAA